CCCACGTCCTTCTCTGCATGGTTGCTCTTAAGTTCTTCCATCTGTACTCATAGCTGGCATTGCCCCAACCCAATGCAGCACCTCGCACTTGGCCTTGTTGAGCCTCATTGAGGAGCACGGATCCCAGGATGGACCCCCAGGGGTCACTGCTCGTCGCTGGCCTCTACCTGGACATAGAGCTGCTGACTACAGCCCTCTGGTTCTGACCATCCAACCAATTTCTTATCCACCAAATAGTCCACCATTCACATCCGTAGCTCTCCAGTTTAGAGATAAGGATGCAGTGTTGGACCTTACCAGAGGCCTTGCAGATGTAGTGTAGTCACTGCATTACCTTCAGTCAGACACTGGTGGTAAACTGCTTCCCATGCAGGAAGGGAAGAGGTGAGGCTGCTGTTTGAATAAGGGAAGGTGAGCTCTACTGTCAGGAGTACAGCGTGTACAAAATGAAGTGGCAGTTTCACCATGCTGAAGTTGAAAGCCGTGGCAATCCATAGCAGTGTTGGATATCTGTTGATATTTTGTCAGCTGCTTTCTAATTCCTCCTAATGAGGCAGAGGAGGTACTCTAGAATGTCATGACTCTACTCATTTCTGTTTCAAGCCATCAGCTGTTCCAGTGAATCTTATTATGATAATAATGGTGTAAAATAATTTCCTTAACTGTTCCAAAGCCAATGAGCATTTTGAAAGAATTCCATTTACGTGAAGCAGAGAGAGATCTCATTGGGACCCAGGGGCACTCCAAAGGCACAACAGGAGGCAGTTAGCTTCCCACCACCCCATATCCTTAGCACAGAGAAGTGAAGTTTCTCATTAGTTAAAAGACTGATGTGATAAACAATTTATTATAAAGACAGATGAAACTGCGTTTCAGTGTGAGCTACAAAGGTGGATGGATGAAACTTTTTTCCACTTTGAAATCACAGTCTGCTGGGATTGCTTGTGAACACACTCAGCAGTAGGCAGTGACAAAGTGTGACAGACTGAAGTCTGAGGTGACATAATCCAGGAATGCAACAGAGATTTGGGTGCTGTGTGTTCCCAGTCTGGAGCTCAGTCCTGGGAAGAGATTGATTTTGTGACTGATAGAAGCTGGAAACCCAAATCTGGCTCCAGGACTGCTGAAATGGATTTAGTCCAGGATCCAAAGTCTGTAAAAGTCGGTTAAGAGACACTCGTGGACTTTGGATAAGGCTTTCAGTAGGGCTTCTGGGGCAAGCCTTACCCGCACTTCTGATTCATTTGCTTTTGAGAAAGGAATCCTTGATGCTGGTCTCTTTGGCTGTGTGTGCTTGTACATTCCGTAACAATAAAGCAATAAAAGCCAGGTTGCAAGAATGCGAGGTAGGCTTAGCAATTCCAGCATGGAGAATACAAATAAACATCACTTCCTGGTCGCTGTCCTCTTTGTTTCTGACACTTTCAGTTACTCTCACTTCACACTTTCACATTGTTTTCCATAGCTGAGCGGAATTGAAACCTCCTGCTTGCTTTGGTGAGGCTGCTTTCTGGGGGGAGAGGTTTGTGAGCATGCTGCTCGGGCCCTGAGGAGCTGGGTGCAGCGGGGTGGGATGGCACGCTGCGAGGGAGGCTGCTGCTCATCCCTGCTGGTGCTGGGCCCAGCGCCCTGCTCCCGTTCTGCAGCAACGGCTGGCCCTGTCTGAGCAGTCTGCAGCTCCTGGTGTGGTGTTTTGTAGTGTGAGGAAGCAGAGCCGTGAGCAGTGCTGGCTGTGCCTCCCCACCTGCGCCATCACGGCCACGGGACATTTGCTAGGTGCTCTGCTTCACAGCGCACGTGTTGTTCAACGCACGTGTTATGGGTGAGCTAAAACACTCCTGCCTGGCACTAGTCTCCAAACCAAGGGCTTAACATAAAACAGAGAGAGAAAGAGCCAGGAAAATGCTCAGAGGGCTGCAGCGCTTTTCCTGTGAAGACAGGCGAGGAGCTGGGGGCATTCAGCCTGGAGAGGAGAGGGCTGCAGGGAGACCTGTGGCCTTCCAGCATCTGAGGGGAGCTTACAAGCAGGAGGGACGCCAACTTTATACCTGGTGACAGGACTAGGGCGAATGGCTTTAAACAAGCAGAGGGGAGATTTAGGTTAGATGTGAGGGGGAAATGCTTTCTGCAGAGAGCAGTGAGGCCCCGGCACGTATCCAGAGCTGTGGGTGCCCATCCCTGGAGGCACTCAAGGCTGGGTTGGATAGGCCAGGGCCAAACTGAGCTGGTGTGGGCAACCCTGCCTGTGGGAGGGGGTGGGAAGTGGGTGATCTTTGAGGTCCCTTCCAACCAAAGCCATTCAGTGACTCTGACAGTGTCTCTGGTGGAGCAGTTTGGCAGCAATTTGCAGGAGCGTTTTTCTTCAACTGTTCTGTTGCTGTATGAGGAATGCACTGAACCAAGCAGAAGACATCCATCACAGCCATTACCTACTAATATGGTGTTATTCCCCACTGGAAACTGATGGGAATGCACTGTGAGATGGAAGACATAAAGCTATGCCCTCCCTCAGGTCACTGCTGACTTAGGCCAAAGTTGAGCTGGGATGAGTAATTTTGATATTTAAACAGAATTTGCTCTATTTCACTTTATGCCCATTGCCTCTTATCACAGCATCAAAAAGATTCTGGCACTATTGACCTCCATGTAGGTATATTAATACAAAAAGCACAGGCAATTAAAGTAACCTTTAAAAAAGAGTAGGCAGTAGATTGAAAACATCAAATTTCAGAAGAGTTACATTTGTTTGTTTCATGCTGGTGCTTTGCCTGGCAATATCTGGTGTGTTTCTGTATGTGCTGTGTATGGGCCAGCACATGCATATATTCAGCTCTGGGGAGAATTAATGGTATGGAGGGAAATCAATTGGTTAGACATTCAGTTAGACTAGTCCAGACTCTGTGGATGGTCAGCGGAGATACTGGTTTTCCATAGGCATTTCTTTATGGTCAGCAGTGTCCAGGGGAGCTCCTGGGGATGCCCCATCTCCACTGGTCAGTGGAAGGGCCCAGGTCGTGTGAGCTGCATGTGATGGATGGATCCCAGCTGAAGCGCCCACAGAGGGGCGGTGTGTCTCCAGAGCTGCACCAGTACCCCCTGCAGTTGGTTTGAGAGGTGCTTCTGGTGTGGTGTGGGGATCACTGCAGTCCTGGAGTTTAACGAGCAAATGCAGCAGAAGGCTGTGGGGAACAGAAGCTTGTAGGGTATGTGGCTATGTGGCGGGATGGCTGCCCTCGGGCCGGGCTCCTTTAGGGAAAAGGATCTTCCTTGCAGTGTGGCTGGTGCTCCAGCAGAGCACCTTTGGCACTCAGGCTGTGTCTGTGGGGTAGACCTGGCCCATAGCTGTCCTGCAGCCCATGGCAGCCCTGTGCACCAGAGCATGAGAGCATCTGGTGTGGGCCTGTTCTTGGGGCAGCCGGCCAGGCATGTTGTGTGCTGTTTAAAAGCTGCTCTAGATCTATGAACGTGACCACACAACACCGTGGCTTCATTTGGGTTCCCTGCCCCCCAAAAGACAGTCCTTCTGGAATCCTATACAGTGACATTTAAAAGGGAGTGTTACAGAAGTCTTGTCAGAGCTCCGGGAATCTGCCCAGGCACCTTCATGTCGGTTACTGTAGGCGCTCTCTCAGGAGAAGCCAGGCTTGCAGGTAGGGAAATGCTTCTTCTTTGCCCAACTGCTGAACAGAGCCAAATTCTTCAGAATCCTGGAGCGTGAACTTGCTGTATCAGAGGGTTGTGTACTGCGACACACTGCAGACGAATACAATCCTTTTGTTTTCTGGGAGGCTGATGGGGAAAGCTATGCTTAGGTTGAAATTATTATTATTATATTATCATATTATTATACCTATTATTAGGTCATATTATCATATTATTATATTATTATACCTATTATTAGGTTAAATATTTGCTCCACTTCTGCTATCTCCTTCCACTGTACATTTAATTTTGGCTGAAAACCTTAAAGAAAGTGAAGGCCCTTTGCTGTTACAAGATGCTGAGGTTAATTCTGACCCTAAGATCACACTCTACAGCTGCTTGCACTTAGCAGCTTAGTGTGTAATGCTACAAAAAGTGACCTTCGCAGTGCCTGGTAAGAGTATAAACCTTTGGATCTCCCCCCTCAGAGTGACGTGTGCCTAGTGCTCAACGTGGGATGGATGTTTCTGAAGTTACGTATCATCTTTTGAAGACCAGAGGGCTGTTACCCTGAGCACATCTGGATGCACTGCTTGCTCTGTGTAATGTCCTGCTAGATGGTGCCTTCTTCATACTGCTGCAAACAAAAGCTGAAATGCTGATGTACCTTTAGCCTGTTGTACAGTGACTTAAATCACTTGTTGTTATTCCTGCTACATGTGTATTTTTCTAAGCACTTGTGTTCCACCAGCACACTCAGAGTGAGTACTCTCAAGGGGGAATTTCCTTCCTGATAAACAATTCTGCAGTGTGATTCAGCAGGAAGGATGTTGTGGTTAAGGCACTGGATTGGGATTTGGGAGACATGGGTTCTGTTCCCAACTCTACCACAATCAAGATGTGATGAGTAGAAGGGCAAGCAAACAAAGAGAAGGAGCTGTTTGTGGCAAGAGCATGCTTTCATGTTCACTGTCCACTTTGGAGGTTAGTTAGGTCTGTTTTTTGGCTGTCTCAATCAAGTAAACAGTGATAAAGACTCCTGTTGGTGCAATTGAAAACTGAAATCTAATCTTGTGCTATTCCAGGAACCAGATGTAGTTTTAACTGTATGCAGTGACTTTCATGAGGTTTCACATGCCGGTGTTTGGTGACTTTTTAGTTGACTTTACCAATTCCCTGCTCACTTCTTTGATCTCCAGGCAATGTACTGTGATTTCTGTGAGAAGTCATGAACTCACATAGTTTGTCCACTACCTTGGTTACACAGAAAGGCTGTGCACCATACACACGATATTTCCTTTGCCACGCAGGGTTCAGTTCCTGCAGTTCGATCATAACACTGCCTTCCTCTTTTTCAGAAGCAAGAGCTTGGCCCACCAACTCCGAGCTGTAGGCCATTAACCTCAGCATCCTAATTCAGTGCCAACTGTGGGAGGATGAGTCAAGAGGGCAACTCAAGTGATCGGCCTGCTGGTGAGTTTTCTGCTCCTCTCGACGTTTACCTGTCCTTTTTGGCATTTGGCATCATTTCTTTTCCATTTGCTATGGGAGGAGAATGCTGAGTCACAAGCAGAGCAAAAGCGTTGAACTCAGTGCCACACTGCATGCCACGCAGGTGGTCGGATCTCGGAGGTTTCGTGGGTGCACAGCTAGATATCAGTGTTTATTTGTATCCCAGGTTGAAAATGTTTACAAGAATTGCTCAGTAACTTCCCACAAATTCAGAAGATCCATTTTTGTTACTGTATTACACAGCTCATTCACGTTTTATCTATAATTCAGTTTTCTCTTGAATTTCTTCTGTAATTGCTTTATAAAGTAAGACCAAGGGAAGATGCACACACATACTGTTGTCATGTCCCACAAAGTTTTGGTGTCTGGGTCCTTGGTGCAGAGACGGAATGGACAGGAATTCATTATTTTGGCTCAGTCCTGCCAAAAATTTCCTCTCTTCTTCCATCCCCATCTTTGGTTACTGGAATTCAGTATCATCTGGATCTTCTGGCAGTTTCTGCAAAGAACTGCCTGGGAGACACGTAAGCCAGAAGCTGTGCCTGACAGCCTCCCAGGCTCAGCTGTGTGCTTTTTTGGATGTGTAAAGGGGCATTCTTGTTTCTGACGTGAGGGCTATTTTTTGACAGTTTCCATTGTTCCCCACTCTTTGTTAATAGGGGAGGTCTTTAGTCTGATTCCTTTTTCAGAATAGAGACTGTTATGGGAGCTGTCTGCTCACAAGTTTGGGGGATTTCTTTCTTGCTTGCTTTCTTGCTTTCTTGCTTGCTTGCTTTTGCTTTTGCTCTTTCTCTTCCTTTTTCTTTTTCTTTTTCTTTTTCTTTTTCTTTTTCTTTTTCTTTT